AACGGATTCTTGGGAGGTTCCTGAGCACGTTCTGAACGGGTTCTGGAAGAGGTTCTAATCGGGTTCTGGAAGAGGTTCTGATCGGGTTCTTGAAGAGGTTCTGATCGGGTTCTTGGCAGGTTCTGGAAGAGGTTCTGATCGGGTTCTTGGCAGGTTCTGGAAGACGTTCTGATCGGGTTCTGGAAGAGGTTCTGATCGGGTTCTTGGCAGGTTCTGGAAGAGGTTCTGATCGGGTTCTGGAAGAGGTTCTGATCGGGTTCTTGGCAGGTTCTGGAAGAGGTTCTGATCGGGTTCCGTTGGCTGAGATATTTTTGGTTTTTACTCTCTGCTTTGCCTGTCAGAGATGATGGAACGGACCAATTAAAGTCTCGGAACCAGGACCCAAAGCGGCTCCTTGTGAATCGCTGTGTTTGTTCTGGACTCTGTCGGTTCTGGTTCTGTTGGGTTTTGGATTTTTATCCCATGAAGAAGAAAAATGAGCCAGAAGAATAAAAACTAATCTCTGAAGGAAGCAGGACAGTCTGGTCCGATGTGCTGCTGCCACGCCGGCTCGGTCCACCTTGACTGCAGAACCGGTTCTGATGAAGCTCGGTTGGACCAGAACCAGGGAGAGTTATTGCACCGAAGACCAGATCAGAGACAGGAAGTGATGTCATCTATCTGCCTGACGAACAACCAGATCTGAGCAGAACTGCTCCGGTTCCGCCGGTTCTGCTGAACTGGGATCAGTACGGCAAGATGTTTACAAATTTATTAGCTACAAATTATGGGCTGCCGTTTGGAACGTTACAGTGGAAAATTAACGGCAGTAATTTAGATAATTTAAAACACGGTTCATTCGTCCAACATGTTAGTCCAACATTTAACCTGCTGGATTCATTAAATATCTAATTTGCAAGCTACATATTTAGCCAGCAGGTTGGATTTTCTGTTTGTAATTTAAATACTTAGTTGCAAGTTTAATATTCAACTAAATATTTAACTAAATTTGACCCAAATTATTGCGATTCATTTTTGACGGACTTTATAAACGGTTTTTGTGACCTCTGAGGAACCTTTCGGTTTTCTCCAACATGGTCCTGCCGAGCTAACAACATGAAGCTGCTCCAGCATGTTATTAAATATAAAACAGCTTGCCCTATGCTGCAGGCTCTTCGGTTCCAGTCCAAAGCAGCAGCTGTTGTAGCTGCACGGCGGCGGTTCTGTTCAGTCCAAATCCAAACCAGCAGCAGTTCCTTGTTTCTGACAGCTGGAACATCTGAGAACTTCCCACATCTCCATCCAGAACCATCAGGAGGTTCAAGGCTTCGGATCAGAACCTGAGCCAACCGGGAAGCCAGGAAAAATAGTTTAACTGGTCTGATAACCGAGAGACGGTTCTGATGGAGCAGCTGCTGGGTGAAGAGGAGGAGGAAGAGGAGATCACTGCGCGCTGCAGCAGGAAGGAAGTTTGTTCTGGATGAACCTCTAGTGAAGCAGCACATGGAGTCAGAGGTGATGTTTGCTTCAGTGCTTCAGATCTGAGCACACACACACACACACACACACACACACACACACACACACACACACACACACACACACAAACCCTGTTGGTTTCCAGTCCTGATTTAAAGAGGCGCTAACCTCCAGATCAGCTAGCTTTAGCATTCATAGCTGGAGCAGTGAGCACGCGGGTGATTGACAGCACTAAGACCCTCCTCCTGGCTCTGATTGGTTGTTTGACTCTGGTGGATTTCTGTACTTACTACTGGGAGTACTGGGAGAAGCAGAGGAGCTCATTTTTTCCCACAGACTGTAATGATAATATTAACAAATATGTAAAAAACATTTTTATACAAGTTAAATACTGCAGCTCATATTTCAATGTTTCTGTGCAGATTTTAACATTTTGTACACATTTGATTTTGTAAAATTTTGCCTGAAGCCGCCTCAGTGCTGCCCTCTTCAGGTTGGATGATGGTACTGCAATTGAGTTTTCTGAAGGTCCAGCTTTAGCGCGTGTGACTCAGAGGCGCCCCCTGGTGGCGAGCAGGTGCAACAGCTAGAATGGTTAGCATTGATCGATAGCATCAGCCATGCTGTGTCTGCAGGTGACGAGAATGAAAACGGTACCTGGTGCAGGTTCAGCGCCCGGCTCAACAGCAGCACAGCAGGAGCCTCCAACCGTCCTGTAAAACCAGAACACAGCAGTGAACAAATGAGATCCTCCAACATCGGATCAGAACCGCACGGAAACAGCAGAGATTTCTGAAATATTCACTTTCAGGTGGAGATCAGGGATTATAAGGTTTTAATGTCCTGAACGAATGTTTTCTTTTTCTCATCCACCTGTGAAATGATGAGTGCCAGCTGCTTCCAGCTGCTTCCTCTTTATGAAGTGTGGAAAGATGGAAACACAGCAGCAACGACAGCGATGCAGAGAAAGAAATGAAAAGAGGAAACGTTCATCAGACGCAGATAAACGTGTAAAATCTTTTTCACAGAAACAAGATGGCAGCCAGTGAGGTCGAGTGAAGAAACGGGTAAAGAAAGGCTTTGCTTCAGGAAGCGGCGACTCGTTGGGCCCAGATTGAGGCTGGAGGGGTCAGACCGTCCCCTGAGGTCCAGCTCCATTTTCTGAATCGTTCTCAGACTGGAATGCGAGCAGCTGGACCAGAGCTCCCAGTAAGCAGCATGAAGAATTGGGTCCTGGCAGCATAAACAGGAAAACACTCATCAGGTCTGGAGGACCCATAAACATGAGCGTGACCTCTGACCTCTGCAGACACACCTAATGGAGGAAAGAGTTCAGACCAGACCGACAGAAACAGATTCAAGGTGCTGAAGAGAAACGCTCCAGGTCCGGTCCGGCTCTGACCATCAGAACCAGGCGCTCCCAGGAAACCTTCACCAGGGGCCCGAACCCAGGCCCCTGGGAGGACGGTCGGGTTGAAACCGCCAAAATAAACCAACCAATATATTCGTATTATTTTAAAAAACTACGCAGGGCCCCTTGGGCCCCCTTTGGGAGTGCCTCTGCTCGTTCTGCTCCAACATTTCTCTGATCTAAACTTTCTGATTGATGTAGTTACCAAACAGTTTCAGGTTTTTTCTTGCAGTGGAAACTCTGTGGAGCAGAAAGATTTGAAGATGATGATGAAGGGAGGAACCTTCATCATCATCAGGATGAAGGGAGGAACCTTCATCCTGCTGATCCTAATCTGATTGGTTCCTGGCGCCACCGGCTCCGGCTGACGACTGAGAGCTGGAAACGTAAACTCTGACCAAACAAGGCCTGCAGGAGGCACACACACACACACACAGGACACACACACACACACACACACACACCACACACACACAAGACACACACACACAACCAAACAGAACAAACCAAGACCACACACACACACAA